AGGGGAGGACGAGACGAGTGGGAACGGAGCAACATAGGGTGGGAGCACAGGACAGGAGAGACGGGACGAGCACGTGAGGGACGGCGAGACCAGACGTGGGACGGAGGTGTAGGGTTAGGAGACAGCAGAGGGGACACAAAAGGGGAATGCGGAGGAAGACGGGCCGGAGACGAGTCCGGCGGCGAGAACACAGGGCCGTAGACCGGAAGGTGAGAAGGTGATGGGGGAGACACCGGCGAGCGGTCAGGGGAGGGAAGGCCAAGTAGGCGAAGAGCGGAGACCGGAGGCGACGGCTGTGGCGGCTGCTGCGGCGACTGGTGCTCGACCCGCGGACCGGTAGGGGCACGACGACCGCCGGGAGAACACTCAACGGCAGCACCCCTAGAACTAACACCCTCAGAGCGAGAACCCCCTCCAGCACCAGCGGCGCCCCCAGTCCCGCCGGGACAGACCACGCCAGGAGCCAGAGGACGAACACCCTCCTCAACTCCATCACCCCCGGAGGGCAAGAGCGGCAGCGGTGGCGGCGGCGGTGGCGGCGACTGCGACAGTGGGGGCGGAGACACCGGGGAAGGGGGACGCGGCAAGGACGGGACAGTGGGACCACCAGAGTCAGCAGACTCCTCAAAGGGGACAACCAACGGGAGGGGAGTGACATGAGAGACACCAGACGGGGCGGGACGAGGCGGGAGAGGAGGAGGGGCTACCAGGGGAGAGGGAGCATGGGGGAGGAAACCGGGACACCTTGGTGAGGGAAGCGACGATAGAAGGAGACAAACTCGTCAAAGGTGGCGTCACGAGAGTGTAGGAAGCGGTGAGACTGCAGGTGGTAGAAGAGCCAGTCAGACGAGTCCAGGGGGAAACCGAGGAAGACACAGGGGACAGTGCGGGCAGTGAGCTTGTCCGTGCCAGAGGCACAAACGTGAGCAAGGCAACCCCTGACGTGGAACGCAAACGCGTCACCTTGGGACCCGGTCCAAAGGAGGGTCGGCGAAACCTGCGGCCGCTGGGAGCGGGGCCACAAGTTAAGCTGGTGAGCAGCGTAGCGAATAGCGAACGGCCACAGAATATGGGGGGCATCGGCATGAATCATGGAGGTGCGAGTAACCTCCATGACCAAGCCGATACGGCGCTCAGCAACCCCATTCTGCAGTGGCGAGTCCGGCAAGGTGTACGACTGGGTGATGCCCTCCGCACGACAGATCTATCCAAGCCGACCTGAGGCGAACTCGCCGCCACGGTCAGAGTGGGGACACAACACGGGGAGACCGCGGTGAAGACGCGCAGCCACAACCCAAGGGAGAAGAACGTCGGGCACGTCGGCCTTCCGCTCCAGGGGAAACACCGTGGTGTAGCGCGTGTAGTCATCGACGAGCAGAAGGAAGTAGCGCTCACCGCGCGGTCCGGGGATGGGGGCTGGGCCCCAGACGTCCAGGTGCAGGGTCTGAAGGGGAGCAATAGCAAGGCGAAGCGAGGAGGAGTGAGGGGCACGGCGGAGCCGGCCCTCGACGCAAGGCGTGCACGGTGGCGCAGTCGAGGGGGGAAGTGCGGGGAGCGGCGTGGGGAGGCCCAAGACAAGACCGTGCTGAGACATGTGACGCAGACGCGGGAGAGCAGGGTGACCTAAGAGGTGGTGCCACAAAAGGGACGGGTGAGTGAGGGACCGACACGAGCAAGCTGCAGCGACCTGGGAGGACGCACCAGCTGGGGGGGAAGCGGTGTCTAGGGTAAACAGACCAGACACCGGGTCCCCGGGGAACGTCGCAAGGGGGGAACCTGAGACAGCCTCGGTACAGACAGCGAACCGCTTGTGCCTAGGAACGTAGTGGTGACGCCGAGGTCCTGAAGACAGCCGACACCAACCAGGTTCCTGGAGAACGAGGGAACGTGGAGGCCTGTAAGGGAGCCCGAGGGAACGGCTGGACAAGGAAGGGAAGTGGAGCTGCGAGTGACGATAGGACCCGCAGAGGGGTCAGCGAGAGCGACAACAGCAAGCGCGGCAAGCGGCGTGAGCGTGGAGCGGTCGCAGAAGAAACAGGTAGAAGCACCGGAGTCGAGAGTGAAGGACAGCAAGGCAGTAGCGGAGGCCGGGAACGGAGCCGGTGCAGAAACTAGGCTAGGCAAACTAGGCAGACCTACGCCTGACGCAGCAGGGGGGGCTGAGCTACACAAGGGTGCTGCGCCTAAACTAGAGTACACAGGGTAATAAGATCCAGCAACATTAGAAGCATCAGCATACAAGGCATGCAAAGCAGCACCTATCTGATCCATATCTAACTCAAAGATCGGCACGCCCTGGCGGAGCAGGCTGTGCCAGTCGGGGAGGTCTGGGGCCGGGACAAGCGACGACGAAAGAGATCGTCGAGGCGGCGGAAACAGCAGGCGGTCGGGTGCGGGCGGCGGCACACAGTGCCGCGGAGAGACCCGGTCTGAAGCTGGTACTGGCAGGTCACACCAACGGAGCCGTTGGTAGACGCCAAGCTGCGCAGGCCGCCACCACGGCCACCACCTACGGAGGTGCCGGGCCAACCCGGCGGGAGACGAGCCCACGGCGGGGGTTGAGACAGCTGCTGCGACGACTACGAATGTTGCGACGGCTGCAGCGGCTGCTCCTGCTGCTGTGGCGACGGCGGCGGCTCCTGACTAGCTACGGCGGTCCCCTCAGTAGAACCACTGTCCCCGGCACCACCACCACTACCACTAGCTCCACCACCACGCCCTCCCTGGCGGCCACGACCGGCGCGGCGCGGGCGCTGCTGCGGGTGTGCCGCAGCTGCAGTCTCGGTCAGAGGGTTCGCAGTGGCGACCGCAACCGAAACGCCAGTAAACGTGCACTGGGAGGGGGCACAGCCGTGAAAGATAGAGACTGCCGGTGCACCGCTCGACTGAGCGATAGTGCGCTGGCGAGTCTCGATCTCTGTCAGGGCGGTGACAAAGGCTGTCAGGGTGAGATCACCCGGATGCTGGCTAAGGATGTGGTCGTGTGCACTAGCAAGGCGGTCAGGTCGGCGCATAGCGATAAAGTAGACAGTCATGCAGAAGGGGGGAGGGAGCGCAGTGAGCTGGGCAGCAATGCTAGCAGTGCAGTAGCAAGACTCTAGGGCTCGCAGGTGAGTGGCAAGGTCAGCAACTGTAGGGAAGGAAGCAAGGTCTGGGAAAAGCATAGGGAAGAGCAGGCGGCCTGCAGTAGCGGAGGCAGGCGTGGAATAGCGAGCAACGACAGCATCTAAGTAAGCCCTGGCTGTATCAACTGTAGAGAAACGCGAACGCTCAGACACAGGGAGGGCGTGACTGATAGCGACCTGAGCAACTGCATCGCGAGAGTCCCAGATGGTACAGGCAAGTGCAGCGGCAGAGAAAGCCTCACGCTCAGCAGAGGTGGGGTCAGCAGGGAGGGAAGCAGGCGCAGGGGGGCGGGGGAGCAAGCCATCAGCATGGACAACTTAGGAGTGCCCATCCTGGCGCTGACCTGTGAGTTGACGGCGGAGATCGGACAGCCAGGCGGCGAAGTCAACCACATGGCCCTCCGCGTCCAGGCGGAGTACGAAGTCAGCCATCATGCACGGTCAGCGACACAGGGACACAGCGGCACAGCTCCACAGGACACAGCAGCACAGCTCCAGGAGGACGGCTGCAAGACGCTCCAGCGCAGGCAGGCAGAAGACACGGGGCCGGAGACTCGAGGAACCGTGCCGAGCAGAAGACACGGGGACGGGCGGGCGTATCGGGGCCGAGCCAGCGCTAGGAGGAGCTGGGCGGGCGCCAGGAGGGGCCGGGCGGGCGCTAGGAGAGGCCGGGTGGGCGCTAGGAGGGGCCGGGCGGGCGCTAAGAGGGGCCGGGCGGGCGCTAGGAGGGGCCGGGCGGGCGCTAGGAGGGGTCGGGCGGGCGTTAGGAGGGGCCGGGCGGGCGCTAAGAGGGGCTGGGCGGGTGCTATGGGACGGGCGGGCGCAACGGGCCGGGCGGGCGCGTAGGGGCCAGGCGGGCGCGACGGGGCCAGGCGGGCGCTGTGGGACGGGCGGGCGCTAGGAGGGGCCGGGCGGGCACGGTGGGACGGGCGGGCGCAACGGGCCGGGCGAGCGCGGAGGGGCCAAGCGGGCGCATAGGGGCCAGGCGGGCGCGACTGGGCCAGGAGGGTGCGACGGGCCGGGCAGGCGCTAGGAGGGGCCTGGCGGGCGCGGAGGGGCCAGGCGAGCGCTAGGGGCCAGGGTGGCACGGAGGGGCCAGGCGGGCGCGTAGGGGCCAGGCGGGCGCGACGGGCCGGGCGGGCGCGACGGGCCGGGCGGGTTCTACGGGCCGGGCGGGGGCGACGGGCTGGGCGAGCGCTAAGGGCCGGGCGGGAGCGACGGGCCGGACGGGCGCTAAGGGGCGGGCGGGCGCTACAGGCCGAGCGGGCGCTAAGGGCCGGGCGGGCGCTAGGGTTATGTAGGGGGCGATAGGCTAGGGCGCGGGCGGAAGCGGGTGGGTGGACCTAACCTACCTCGTGATACCATGTTAGAATGCAAGAAAATAAACTAGAATGGGAGAGTACAAGGTAATGTAACCTAGAAGCTGTACCCTCTAAGACACAAACCTACACAGTCTATACAAACATAACAATATATGTTTGACACTAGGGTGTTATATACGGGGGAATACGGTATGCTGTGTGCTGCATCGGGCACAGTGGCGTGGCGGCTGGTGGTATTGTTCTCTCCCTCACAGCCTTTTTCGTTGCTAACCAAATCCATTTGCATTGCCAAGATTCCCACCACTACCCTGCTTGACCCCGCAGTTTGTCGTGTGTCGTGCTCGTTCTTTTCGGTATTCTCCTCTCCCCCCTCCCCTCTGCACCTTACGCGCCCCTCCTGTCCCTTTTCCGTTCTCAGCTTTCCCCCTTTATCCTTTTTCTTTGGCACTGGTGTTTATAGCTCCTTGGCGAGCCACACTTGCCACCTCGCACCACTGCTCCACGCCCCTGCTCGCTGCCGTGCCCAACTTTTTGCCCTATCATGATTATTAATCTTGCACGTTTTGGGTCAACGGCTTTAATCCTCTGTATTGACAAAGATATTGTCAGCCATGGAAACAAGTCCTATGACAAGAGCCATGTCAACATTGGGCTTGATGCGCACATAGTATGTTTGGGTGTCCAAAAACTCCTTGGTAGATAGCTTTCGTGACACTTCAGCCAAAACACGACCACTGGATGTGGCAATCTGCGTTCAGAGAAACGAAGAAAACCAAACGGGCACGGTTACACCAAGTAAACAGTAAGCTGAGGGGGAGGTAATGGGTGGGGGCATACAGGTCTCCGACTGGGGTGGTACATAGCAGCGTATCTGTACAAAGTTATTTTGAAACAATCGGTGCTTTGAGAACGTACATTAAAATCGTATTGGAGGAAACTGCCCTTGAGAACAATGTCTGGGCTGCTAGACGTGTTCCCTTTCAGGAAAACCTGCACACAAATCAAAACAACGTCGCATGGAAAGGATAGCATCACGTTATCACCTAAAGCAGAACATGATGTCGGCCATCATTACACATTTCCACCCAAGATCAAAACGAAAACAACTCGGTACATCTCTCCTCTACTTACGCTTGGTTAGGTGCCTTCTCATTTAACATGTTCCCGGCATTGTGTGAAGTCACAAATTACGCCAAACTAGCCGCCATACATCCATCACATGTCCTTTCCCACCTGCTTACCTCGTCTCATTTCACGTCACTCACCTTCAGACCTTATTAAAACTCACATTGAGAATGGGAGACCACGAAAGAACGACTTGCTTGGCGGTAAGCAGGGCGGAGTCCGCATTCATGTCAGTACCCGGGTAGAGGTAGGTGGTGTTGGAGATAGAGAGGATCTTGCTCGCCATGGAGCACACCGGCTCGTCCTGGGGGTTGTAGATGGTCTTTCGCTCCTTGATGTCAAATGCCCTGAAATGCGAACGCAGGAGAGAGTTTTGTATCGTTATCGGAGTATGGCGGCAAAGAACTGAATCATGCAGCCACAATTGGCGCTGGTGCAACCACACGGAGTGAACGTAGTGAAAAGTACGTATTCACATGCAAGCGTTAAGTGGCCAGGGTGAATGTGGCTAGATGTACGTACTGGTCGAATAGTCTACTATCGCTTTTTCAACCTCAATTTAAATAAAGGAAAAACCGAATTATGAGTCTGGCATACTTATCCTCGGTCTTGAAGATTAGCTGGCCCTCGGTGTCGCGAATCTCGGCCTTCTCGCGCAGCGAAAACATCTTCTCCTTCATTACAAGCACCGTCTCATGCGGCGCGCAGTACTGGCTTCCGACAACAACGAACTGCTCGTCAGCCATGGCTTCTGACGACGGACTCTGACGATTCTGAACGGACTGGCGATTCCGAATCGACGAACCCCTGCGTGATCGCAGGAAGAATACTACCCTTCGACGAGGAGTGAGTCCACTGGAGAGTGACGCAAAGAGATGGTTGTTATTTTATCTTGTCGAGCTGCGACGTTCATATACTAAATGCTTACTCCGTGAGCACGAGATCAAGGGGGGACCCATCACGCTGTGGAAGAAGGTGCTGTGAAACAGCGCCATCAACCTCACATGCACGCTGCCGAACTACGCGTACTACAGTACAGTAAGGACGTTTGATGGAATCTTGGACTAAAGGACGATGTGCTGATTCAGAAGGCAGGTGCTTGCGACAGAACGGCGACACGTCAGCCACGACACCCTAAGGACGAATCAATGCTAGTAGAGAGCTCCCGGCCGACGTGGCGTGGTTGATTATGCTCCTGTTCTGGAATGCAAGATCGGCACGGCAAGGACAACACTGCCGCCATAGCCAAACCTTCGAAAGGTTCCACCCAAACATCAGCACTGAGCGGCTCGTGCCATCCATCCACCACAAATAGCTGCTCTGTTCAGCAACCCCAAGCTGTCCTAATTCATCGTTCCAGCCAGAACAGTGCAGCACCGATCTGAAACCATCCTTGAACCTTATGCGCCTTTTCTGACCGAGCGGCACCTAGCAGCGATGGTCTCACAAACCAAGCTGTCCTCCAGACCGTTGGGAGGAGTGAGTTGGGGAGGCGAATGAATAGAGTGTTACTGGACAACGGGGGAAAATGGAATCTTGCGGAGTGAGTGGATCAGCGGAGCGAAACCCCCGAAAATGTGAGGGATGAGGGTGCCACGTGGACACCCAGGTGGTGGGGCACAAAGCTGTCCTTTCCACATTGCACTGTCCACATTGCACTGTACACATCAGAGGCAACAGTTGCCATGTCCATCGAGTGGCTGGTGGGCAGGCCGGCCCATTGTGAATTTGAAGCAACCTCGGGGCAGGGGATTCTGAAATTGCGAAATGGGCAGGATACAGGTTCCCCAGCCGATGAAATTCTCGGTCAGATTGTACTTTCCAGCCTATCCTGTTCCAGGGAGCTTGCGGGACGGCGAGTTGCAAGTGTGATGTTCTTGAAATGGGCGGTTCGTGAAAGGGTCACAAACAGAGGTGTATCAAGTGATGAAACCAGGGCGTGGTGGTCTGGAGGGAGAAGGGGCAATTGAACCGGGTTCAAAGAAATACATGGGTGGCGATGATACAAATGCTTCCAACACGGGTTGCATGCAATACAACGTGGTTTCAAGTGCTTCGAGCCTGTTCAGTCTAGAGCACGAGGGTGAGGCTTCACTTGCTCCTGCAGTACTCGTGGATAACTAAGAACTTCCATATTACTTTGTCTCCTCATTGACGAATATCTCGTCAGCCATTGCAACAAGCCCCATAATGAGAGCCACGTCGGCGTGGGGCTTGATCCGCACAGAGTAGGATTGGGTAGCCAGGAACTCCTTTGCAGACCAGATATCACGTTGCACCTGAGCAAGGATCACTCCCTTGCTTGTCGCAATCTGCATTTCGAAAGCCAATGGGCATGACAGGAGAAGTGGAGTGCAATCGCCAGGTTAAAGCTGAAGGTGGAAACCGAGCCAGCAAAGGAGCTTGGAGTTGCGGAAAGCTTGGGCAAAATTTCACGCAGTGAGGCTTAAGGGGAAAACAGGAAACGCATACGCAAAACCAAGACAGCACAACAAATACAGATGACCATACAATTGTGAGATTGTGCTAGGTTGGGGCAGAGCGTGAAAGGAATTGAGGCAAGAACTTACATCGAATTGATGTTGGGCTATAGAGCCTTTGAGAACAATGTCCGGGTTGTCAGAGGTGTTTCCTTTGAGGAAAATCTGTTTCAGCAAGAGGGGATGATCTGTTAGTACCAGGATGATCAGCATTGGCAAATATCTGTGCAGAGATTCATGTACGTGGCACCTCCTACACATGAAACTGGCATCTTGTGCTTTATACTTCAGAAAATGAAGCTAGTCAAGTTTCAGGCACATTCCGCTGTGTTCACATCTCATTGGTTCAATCGGCATACTCACATTGAGAATGGGTGCGAAGGAGAAGAACTTGCTCCTTGCAGTCAGCAATGCCTCATTGACATCCGTGCTGGTACCCGAGCAGAGGTAGGTGGTGTTGTGGAGGGAAAACACCTTGCTTATAATCGTGCAGACCGGCTCGTCCTTTGAGTTGAATATGGTCTTGCGGTCACGAAGGGACAATGCACTGTACATGACAAGAAAGGAGACGAAAAGGGGGGGAGGGGGAGGGAGGGGGGAAGGGGGTGGGGGGGAAGGAGGAGGATCGCTCTTCAAGCTTGAGAGTAGAACCGAGAATGGAAGGGGTATGAAAGCAGAATCAACCATTCCGAAAGAATGTACAGCTGTCACCGTCAGGAGACCGCCAGCTCGTTCTCGTCACACGTACCTCTCTTCCGTCTTGAAGATTAGGTTGCCTTGAGAGTCGTGGATCTCCGCCTTTTCGCGCAGCGAGAACATCTTCTCCTTCAGTATAAGCACCGTCTCGTACGGCACGCAGTACTGGCTTCCCACCACCACGTACGGCTCCGTCAGCACGGCGTTGACGGCCTGAGCAGGAGCAGGCATAGCCATGATCGCCGGTGGCGATACGAGGTTACGAGAAGTAGGACGATGAGGGTGGTAGAACTCCGCGCAGTCTCAGGAAATTACTACTGCCTCCTGAGCAGGATTACGGCCTCGGCAGGAGGACGATGCCTGAAACCCAGTCGCTACTACCGAAAATTACGGGCTTACAGGTGGATATCCACTCCTGGAGATTATCTAGCCGAAGGAGACAAGAATGTACTCGGTAGTATCTGTCACGCTGTGTCACGACGCGGCTCAGCGACTTATCAATCGGTGTTGCGCTGAAAGTAGTAGTAAAAGTGGCCACCGTAGAAGTGGCTCGTTGTAAGCGTGCGGGTAAGCTCGAATAGGAGTCTCGAGCGGGCAGAAGGCTCAATGCGAAGCTGAGGAGGCCCTGGATAGTAAGTAGTAGGTGGTGTTCCCTTCAAGCCGCAAGAGTAGGTCCACGACGTGCTTACTAGCACCGTGACTGGTCGATTACGCAACGCCACAACACGAGCTACGGTAGCGCGTACTGTAAAAAACTCGAGCACGCTTCGGACTGAATGTGCATACATTTCATCTGAAGGGGCGTCCGTGATTATCGGAAGGAGAGGTGAGGCGCGCGATGGAGAACGGGACACGTCATCTGCGAAGTGTTTTTGGCGAATCGGCAGTTGAGCCTATGTGGAACTACAGTGAGGAGTTCAGCCTGATATGTAAGGCTGTCCAGTCTCTGGTACAGATGTAAATAAGTACAGTACAGTACTGAACAAGACGGATCTGACGGCAAGGACAACAACGCCATCGCGCGGCTGTTTCCTCCCTCCCAGCTTTTTCCAGCACGTCATGAATCGTGATCTGTCCTCTGGCGTGATACACGCCGTAAGCTAGTGGTGCAAATGCCTCCACTGTGTGGGTTCCGAAACCAAACAGATAACAGGGCGGCCATAGCAGCTCGGGGCTGCTAGTGAACTTGCTCCACCTGCTGCTGCTGGTGAGCACTGAGGGCGTGTCCAGCGCGTTCATTTTGCCCCAACACGAGTTTTTGACGTTTTTTTAACACGCCGAAATATTGATTGGCCAAGTGTGAATGTGTTGAGGTACACCTACAGTATCAACAGCAAAACTCGCGGACACGAGCCGCGCCCGTGTATCGACAAATGAGCGGGTGCGCGGCGCGCACATAACAGACTGAAACGCGAAAACATCATTGTAACCGTAAGTCGCCCCGGAAAAGAGGCCCCGCCCGCTTTCGCGAACACCCATTCAATTCTTCCGCTGTTTTCGCCGTGCTTCGCAAGCGTCACGAAAGCCTGGCGACTGAAAGCGTTCAATTATTCGCCAGCCAGGTTTTGGACGTTTCTGCCGTGTATATAATATGGGCACGATTTCCATTCGGTTCGGAAACATGCGGCCCACGTCTGTGGGCCCGTTTGGAGGGTGTCTGCCAAAACCGTCCATTTATCGTGCGTGTCCGAATGGACACGAAATTTCGGGCTACCAGGTAAAATTTTCGTACCTGATATGCAAAGTGTTTGTAGTTAACGAACGCGCTGGACACGCCCTGAAGTCACATGTGGACAATCAGTTCTTTGGGGTAGACGGGAAGGTCGGCTTTAGGGCATTTCCGTAGTAAGTTTTCTCAAATCTGCGGAAATATTTGATTGTTTCTGTACGGTGCAGATGTTTTTAATACGGTATATTTTGGAAGCATTCACTTAGGATATGCCGTTATGGTGTCATGCGAAAAGTTTCAACCCAACCAAACCGACTGTCACCCGACCTGACCAAACCAAACCAGCCCCTCCCGATGTTGAAGCACCAGCTTCAGGGGAGGGGATTGGTTGAAATTCCTGCAATGATGGTGGAAAATATGTGACCATGATATCGGCATACCATATCCGCAGTATTGTCCTACTCTCCATACGTACCCTTCCGCGGGACATTCACTTTGCCATAATAACAAAAAGGACATATTTCCTTCTCACCAAGTTCAACCCAACAAATATTCTAGCCAATCATTGATCTTACCTAAGCCATAATCAGTTCAGGTATGGATCATTTACAAAGCGAAGAGCACCATTTTTATTGAACCATGTGCAATGTACCGTAGATGTGTAGAGCACACAAGAACCTATATCTAAATACCTACCCCCACCCTCACCCCATGGTGATGGTGATGGTGGTGGTGATGCTTTGCATCGACAAAAATGTCGTCAGCCATGGTAACAAGCCCCAAGATGAGAGCCATATCTACATTGGGCATGATGCGAATAGCATATGATTGCGAGCCCAGAAGCTCCTGGGCTGAGAAAAGTTCCCTTTCAACTCGGGCCAGCTTAACCCCCTTGCTTGTGGAAATCTGCATTTGAGGGAAACCAGTGGGGCGATACAGGAAAAATATAAGTATACTATCAAGTGAAAGGTAATAAGGGCACTGGTTGGAAACAAGCTTCGAGGAGCTTCAAACGACGCTTCACAAACACCCCAGTGTCTGGTCATGACGTGGCTTTTAACCTCCGCGAGGATATAGCGGAAGTCAGGAAACACAAACGCAGAGCGACGGCGGCACAGGAAATAAACCAAACTGACACAATTGTGATACGTGAGTGTTGCAGGGAGAGAGAGCGGAAAAAACCTGACACGGAAACTTACATCGAACTGGTGATGGATAAAAGAGCCTTGTAGAACAATGTCCGGGTTATCAGACGTGTTACCCTTCAGGAAAACCTGCTCAGAACGACAACACTGTCTGTTAGGCCCTGGAAATACACAATAGGCTCTGAACCTCAACATCATGTTGTCTTTCGGAAGTCTATAATGGAAATATATGTAGTCACATTTCGCTTCACTCAACACTAATAAAACTAATTCCAGGTGAACTCACATTGAGAACTGGCGTGAAGGACAAAATGATTTTTTTGGCCATAAGCAGGGCTCCGTTGGTGTCCGTGCTGTCACCCGTGCAGAGGTAGGTGGTGTTGTGGAGGGAAAACACCTTGCTAGTCAGAGTGCACACCGGCTTGTCGTTTGGGTCGAAAAAGGTCTTTTGCTTACTGACAGAGAATGCACTGTATATGGCAAACAGAAAATAAGAAAAATGGAATTCAATCAGAAATATTGAAGCAACGACGGACCGTTGCAGTCTGCAGAAGGTATGCTTTCTCCATAAGCACGACGTTTAACTTAGATTATGCAGCCGCGCTACACAAGTGCTGCCAAGTCTGTGTCACGTACTTTCCTTGCAGCCTGAACATGAGATTGCCCTGAGAATCGCGAATATCCGCCTTCCCGCTCAAAGAAAACATCTTCTCCTTCATTATAAGCACCGTCTCATACGGCACGCAGAAATGATTTCCCACCACCGCGTACGCCTCCGTCGGTCCTACCGCGGCGACAGACGGAGCAGGCGCAGGCGCTGCCATGGCGAGTGCTATGCAGAGACTATCGAACCGACGGCGGTCTCGACAGAAGCGAGAACGATCTTCAACCGAGCCGGAAGTATCTGTGACAGTATGCGTGCGTGAGCTCGAACTCGAAGTTAGCGTGGCTTGAAACCTGTCAGTAGGCTCGAACGCCCGAGCAGGGAAAAAAAGCCACTCGACAGAATTGCGTCGGCATTGCTCCCTCGTCCTGAAATAGCTTGTGGGGTGAAGCTCGAAGGCAGGCGGAGGCTCATATCGAAGTACGTGGTCATCAGGAGTGACTACACACGGTCGCCCTAGGACGACTGGCGTGTTGTCTTGGAAGTACGACAGGACTGTAGCAGTGCTCAATGAATATTCCTGACTCACGTGGAGAGGAGAAATTGAGTGTGTTCTTCCTGCCCTTGGAGCAGTGACTGCTGAATAAAATACCCCTTCCGTTAGGGCGTGCGAGGTTATCTGACGTTCCAGCGGGGTACAGTGCGCTCTCGCACGTTTGAGAGGCTTCGTGTGCGCTCGAAAGCGGTGACTCGACGTCAAACCGTGACGTCGTGCTGGTCAGCCTACTTTGATACACCCCCTAACTGTACTGCCTTGATGCTGCTGGTCAAGAGGATGAAATGTGAAGGTCGCACATTGTACTGTACTGGGAGATGTGGAAAGCGCGCGGAACACGTGCTTACAAAGGATTCCCTAGACGAGCTTCGTTGGTTCTGCCAGAATCATTAGCGAAAAGCATGGCGAATGACACATAAAGCAGTAACGTTTCGTTTATTTGTCAGTGCATGTTCCCGATTATTCGTTACCTCGATTCTTGTCACCCGTCACACCACGATGGAAACTGGAACCAAGCCCTCTCCAACAGCCATCCTCCTGACTCAAAATGGTGCCTTCCGATTCATTACAGAGTCTCCCTACAAAATATTGGTCCTGTGCGGTCATGACAAGAACACACATACGAAAAAATGTAATCCGGTTCTGTACATGTAAATTGCCTATGGTAAATTGCCAACCAGTCTTGGTTTAGCCATATCTCGCGGATGCAACAACTAGTAGCACCGGCACGAGACACACACTGCACCGAGCATTCGCAAGGGGCAATCCTCAAGAACCCACATACCCTCATGTGCCATCAAGTCTAGTCTAGAGGCACCCTCAAGCACCCATGCGATCATGGCTGCACACCTTAAACCACACCATTTTGGACTGCTGCAACAGCCGCAGCACCAGGTCGCACCTCTCCTCCCAGTGCCCAGCATTCACCCCCGCATCACCATGTCCAGTTCTTCCCCCCGCACCAGCCTCTACAGCCTCCTTCAAATTCAGGTAAGCAAGCACCACTGAGGCCATGCCACCAGCACGTGTCACATCACCCCCCCCTGCCTCATCCCCTCCTCCCGCCCCTCTTCCCGTCCCTCCTCCCCCTGCCTTTTCAGCACACACCCGAGCCTCTGCCACGTCCCCCTTCATCGCATGCAGGGCTGCCAGATCCACATACACGCACTCCCTCCACTCCCCCCCTGCTCCAGCTCCTCCTGCTGCTCCTGATGTTGACCCTGCAGGGAAAGCTTCCAGGAGCTCGACAAGGCACTCGGAGAGAAAGCTCATTGCTTCCCCAGGCCGGCCCAGGTGGCAAAGCGCCTCTGCTGCATAAATTCGCAGGAGACCGGCTTGAGACGGGGTTGAAGCAGTGGTGTGAGGGGTAAGGGGTGCGTGGGGGGGGTTGCTGCTGCGGCTGTCCAGAATAGAGAGCGCGTGCTGGGCGGCAGTGAGGCAGGCGAGGCAGTTGAGAAGGGAGAGCTCGACCCAGGCGAGCTGGCACAGGGCTGAGAGGAGCACGCGGTGGTGAGCGGCGGGGGAGAGAGGGGGAGGGGAGAAAGGCGTCTGGCTGCTGCTGCTGCTGCCACTGGCAGTGCTGCTGCTTGCGATGATGGTGCTGGTAGTGCTGCTATCAGCAGGGTTTGCGAGGAGCAGGTGGACGGCGTTTTTCAGACACATGCACGCCAAGGGAAGGGAGTCCAGGCCGAGTGAGGACGCCAGAGACAGCGAGAATGGAAGACCGGATCCACCTGCACCGCTCCCTGACTCCTGCGATGGAAGACCGGATCCTGTGATGCTCCCTGACTCCTTTCTCTCTTTACCTTTCTCTCTGGCTGTCTCCTTTGCACCGCCTTGCTTCCCTCTCCCTCCCCCCTCCCCTCCCGTTCGCCTCTCCATCAAGTCAGCAAGCCCACTGAGGGCCGTCGATTCACCAGGACCAGCACCGTCGAGAGCCGTTGATTTGACTGTACGGACACCGTTAGCGCGCCTGTCCGTGAAAATCCCCGAATCTGGCATGTCTTGGAGTCCGTCGCCGCGCGTGCCAGCTGGCAGCAGGACGTACTGCCACGTGTCCTCGTTCCTGGCGCTCATTACAGTAACCGCCATGCTGCTGGGCCGGGATAAGCGCTCCTCCTCCTCCTCCCCCTCCCCCTCCTGCTGCTGCTGCCGGTGCGCCAGAATGCAGCATTCCGCCAGCCGCAGCCACAGCAGCGGCCAGTCACAGAAGGTGCGGGAAACCTCCTGGAAGCATCGCGCTGCCTTGCCGGGATCGCCGCTCAGCAGCAGCTGCAGGCCGAGCTGGTACACCACCCGCGCCGCGTCGCCGTTATTCTGCGACTGTGCTGACGTGGCGTTAGTCTGTGCCTGTGCTGACGTGTCGCGGCTGGGGGTTGCAACCGCGGCGTATCCTTTCCTGGCGAGACTCCTGCTATCCATTTGAGACGCGTTATACGCGCAGGGTATTCAGGGACCTGAGATTCTTATCGGATTGCAGTTGACTTTTGAGTCGACTCAAAAGCCACCACGCTATTGAAGGACGTCAGATACTTATCGGATTGCAAATACGCGACCCCTAAAGAGCTTTTGAGGCGCCTAAAACGCAGGCTATTCAGGGACGTCGGACAGTTAATATCGAATTGCAGTTACACGAGGTCCCCTACTGAGCTTCCATTGTCGCCTGCGACGGTTTCCAATGCCGACCTACTTGTCGGTGCCGACGAGCCGCGCAATTCAAGGCTTTCCCAACCTACTTTCCCGACCTACTTTTCCGACGTAGAGCACTGATCTCCGCTGTGCGTCCAGCGTGAAGAGAATCCATTTCCCCAAAAAGCAGCCTCTCGTAGCGAATCCTGTCTTCTCCGACATACTCTACGACTCTCACTTGACCTACCTCCTTCGTTTGCTGCCTGGCATACATGCTAGATGGAAACTCGCGTTAGTGCTTCGTGCTCGGAAAAATTGACCTAGTGGATATCGAACGAATAGCTTATAACGAGTATCTAGCTTTCCTTCCAGAGTTGGAGTTTTGTCAGATCTATCAGAAATTGCACTGTGGACCCATTGGTTAGGGCATGTCCCGCGCGTACGTCTGATTGCGGTCGGGTGAGATTGTCTGCGAGTCAGAAGGATCAAACAACGATCAGAAACGGTTGGGCAGGGTTTTTGATCGAGAAACGTATGCGCGGAACACGCCCTTATTGATATATTGCTGAGCTGTTGTACCGAAAGAGCCACCTGGTTCGCATGCCCCGTTGTAACATGTGCTCTGGGAAACGGAGGCTAATCCCCAAGCACATGTTATAACGGCTAATCCCCAAGCCCCCGTCGCCGCCGAGCTGACGCCTGCTGACCAGCGGTGTGCTGACGTGGCACAGCCAATCGTGATTAATCGACGTCACAAGCGACCGTCGGAAACGCTCTGTGACCGCACGTTCGAGGGCATCCGAGCCCTTTCGCGACTCAATCTTCTACAGCCTATTCTGAGTGAAGGACGTGCTGAGCCGCCGGCTAGTGTAGTAGGTACCAAATAAGGTTCGCCTACAGGCGTGAATCAGGTATACTGTAGTATTACCTCCTTCACAAGCATAATTCCGACGTACTATTCGCTTCGTCGGGGCGATGTCGCTCCTCGCGTTGTGCCGTCGTAGCAGCGGCCTATCCACCTTTCCTTTGCGAGAAGCCCTCGGCTCACAATGCCGCCATACGTATAGTAGCCATGGCCAAATCCATAACCATAGTAGTCATAGTCATGGCACGCATCGCCGCGTGGTGGCCAGATGCCGCGTAATCCGCGCATCCATCAATGGCAGCGCACCTGCCAGCTCAGCAGCCGCCGTGTCCACATCTGCCACGTCACTGGCCCCCGTGGCGCTAGATCCATCGTACGGGAGCAAGGAGGTGATTAAAGTCGACTCGCGCGTCTACCAGTACATTCTGGAACACACGAGAGAACCCGAGGTGAGGCGACTACGGGTTGACTGGAACTAAATGGGCTGGTGAGGAGGGATATGTGGGTGGTGCGACTGGGGGACTGGTGGCTTCGCCCGTCTACCAGTACATTCTGAAACACACGAGAGAACCCGAGGTGAGGCGACTATGGCAGGAGGAATTATGAAAGGTGTGACTATGGGAGATTGTCACTGAAAAGGGTTAGTAAGGAAGGAGGTGATTGAAGTCGCCTCGCGCGTGTGTCAGAACATCCTGGAATACCCGAGGGAACCCAAGGTGAGGTGGCTACGGGTTAGCTAGGGATGAGTGGGTTAACGTGAAGTGGGATAGTGTGGAGTGGAGTGAGAACGTGGTCGGCTCGCGCGTTTATCAGTGCATCCTGGAACACACGAGAGGCCCCGAGGGGAGGTGACTACGGGCTGACTGGAACTTAGTGGGCTGGTCAGGAACGTAATGGGCTGGTCAGGAAGGAGGGATATGTGGGTGGAGCGTTTGGGGGATTGGTGGGTCCGCCCGTCTACCAGTACATTTTGAAACACACCGGAGAACCCAAGGTGAGGTGACTATGGCGGAAGGGAGTGTGGAGATGGTATGGGGGTCGCGGCTCCGGGTTGCCTACCAGGTGATTACATTCTGTGAAAAGCATCCAGACACAGAGAGAACCCAAGGTGATGGAGAGGTGTGACTGTAACAGGTGTGACTGGGAAGTGTGATTAAAATCGTGCGCCAAGCGTTCCTCGAGAGAGCTGATCTCGTTGCTGCACTCTCATTGTTCCACTCTCTTCCTTGACCCGTTCTCTCATTAAGCTACCCATGTCCCCATGTCCCTCTACCATGTCCCTCTACCCATGTCCCTTGCCCATGTCCCCTGCCTATCTTATCTCGGGCAGATTTTAGCCGAGCTGAGGAGAGAAACGGCCACCATGATAGGCAAAGAAATGCAGGTGATTGGGGGGGGGGGGGGTGGGCGGGGGGGGGGTTGTATTCGCTATAAGTAGCTGCAGGTAGAGAGCACGGTAGAGTTGAGAAACAGCCGCCATGATAGGCAAGGAGATACTGGTGAGGGGACGTCTTGAGCCCACAATAGTCAGAGGTTGTCTTGTGCCCGCTATAAGCAACTGTATGCAGAGAGTGTAGCGAGTTGAGGAGAGAAGCAGCCGCCATGATAGGCAAGGGGATGCTGGTAACGGATATAGCAGAGCTGAGGACAGAAACCACCTTCCCTCCCCTCCTACTTTCATAGCATAGCATCTCGCCCTAACCCACCCTATCCCACCCTATCCCACATTATTCCATCCTCCAGGTGTCACCAGAGCAAGATGCGTTTCTTCCCATGCTTTGGTGCGCCTCATGGGAGCAAAGCGCTGCATGGATGCACCCAACCCAAGACCCATGCATTCTATCTATCTACTCCCTGCGCTGTGGCGTTTCTCGTCCGCCAGGTGTCGCCAGAGCAAGGCGCCTTTCTTGCCACGTTGGTGCGGCTCATGGGAGCCAAGCGCTGCATTGAGCTGGGCGTGTACACGGTGAGACTTCTGAACCGGTGCTGTATGGTGCTGTGAGTATGGTGCTGTATGGTGCTGTGTGTGTGGTGCTGTATGGTGCTGTGTGGTGCTGTATGGCGCTGTATGGTGCTGTATGGTGCTGTGCGGTGCTGTGTGGTGCTGTATGGCGCTGGAGTGTGCATGGGAAGGACTGAACTAGTCCCGCTGCCACGCATGGCTAAAACCTCTCAACGGTGCCCCCCCCTTTTTGAGGCGCCTCAAAAATCGTCTCATGTCACGCGGATTTTATATGTAGAATATTTAGAAAGTCCCGCTGCCGCGCATGGCTAAAACCTCTCAGCAGTGCTCCCCCTTCTTCTACGGGCGCCCTTCCACATGCCCGCCCTTCACTGCTGCCCAGCGATTTTTCTGATTTCTCCACAACCACCCACCCACCACCTTGCCTCCCTTGTTTCAGCGGCCTCAAGAATCGTCGCCCGTGCCTCCTGCCAGCGAATTTCGTGATTCGTCACTCCCACTACCGTGCCTCCCCTCCCCTCCCTCCACGGCTATTCCTCCCTCTCAGTTTCCCTTGCCCTGCCCCCCGATGGCCTACTGGTGCCATGTGACGGTGCTGCCGCACACGTTTTTCCTCCTTGCGTATCCCAACCCTCCCTCCCCTCCCACTTCCTCTCTCGCCCCCCCGCCAGGTCTATTTCTCCCTCTCTGTCGCGCTGGCCCTGCCCCCCCAATGGCCTGCTGGTGGCATGTGAGAGGGTGCCACAAGTCTTCCCTCCTCCCATATCCCATCTCTCCACTCCCACCACCAGCTCTCCCCCCCCCCTCCAGGGCTACTCGTCCCTCTCTGTCGCCCTGGCCCTGCCCCATGACGGCCTACTGGTGGTGTGTGAGAGGGTGTCCCACACGTTTGACCTTCTTGGTTATTCCCACTCTTACTACCGCTTTCCCCCTCCAGGGCTACTCCTCCCTCTCTGTCGCGCTGGCCCTGCCCCCTCACGGTCTGCTGGTGGCGTGTGAGAGGGTGCCTCACACGTTTGCAGTGGCTCAGAAATTCTATGAGAAGGCTGGAGTGAGACACAAGGTGTGACTGTGATGGATGGATGGTACTGTATCTTGTGCCACTGCAATGACTGTTCTGATCGACTTGCCACACATTTGCAGTGGCGCAGAACTGCTATGAGAAGGCTGGAGAGAAACACAAGGTGAGACTGAGGTGTCGATGGGGGACGACTAGTGGGCCATCCCTGTGGGTGGGTTGGTGCCCCTCACGTGTTTTTGAGAGTTCTCCAAAACACCCTGCAAAAAATAGTGGGCCATCCCTGTGGGTTGGTGCCCCTCACGTTTTCAGCGGCGCAGAGTTTCTATGAGAAGGCTGCGGTGAAACACAAGATGTGGCTTTAAGAGGTGACATTAACAAGGGTTTGGGGTTTTGAAGGAGTGTACTTACTTACTCACTGGTTTCCAACATGTTTGCAGTGGGTCAGCTCAACTCAGAGATTCTGGAGAATGCATCGGATGACTGTAGCGAGGTTTCTTTTGAGTCGACTCAATAGTCATCTCGATTCTGGAGAATGCATCGGATGACTGTAGCGAGGTTTTTCGTTAATTGGTTTCCCACCCTTCTGCAGTGGAATGGTGGTACTTCGTGATTGTTGTACGTTGAATCTGGGGGGTTCGTTGCGCACAGCAACGAGTGTGGCATTCAGTGATGCTGCATAATTGTCATGAGGGATGCGCCTGTACCTATTGCTTCCAGCCAAACGCGTCAGCGTCGATGCCTGGCCTGGATCCAATCCGAGCACTTTGCTCTGCGGCGAGGCGAATTACACACCTTCCTCCCTCCACACGCACTCCCCTCCGTCCCACCTCCTCCCTATCCCAGCTGGACCCGCCCCTGGGGCGAGCTGTGGATACCCTGGAGCGTTGATGACACCCCCATGCCCGCCTCCAGTAGACATTTTTCAGAATTCTCAACAGCGATACATTGGAGGCGGGCGTGGGGGTGTCATCAACTAGAAGATACACTGGACTGTTTACGACACCCCCCATCACTGGACTGTTTACGACGCCCCCATCACTGGACTGTTTACGACACATCACTGGATGGCACCAATGCGCTGTGGATTCACTGTAGCGTTGATGACACCCCCACGCGCCTCCCCCCCCCCCCCCCATGCTTCCTCTCCTCTGCGCTCTCCCAGTCCCCTCAACACCTCCCCCTATCCCAGGTGGATCCGCGCCTGGGGCTAGCTGTGGATAGACAAACTGCAGCAGAGCAGCTCCTCCCCTTCCCTGCTTCTTCCTTTGACACCCCTCCACGTTCCACTCCACCTCAACCACGGTCCACCTCAACCACGGTCCACCTCAACCACGGTCCACCTCAACCACGGTCCACCTCAACCACGGTCCACCTCAACCACGGTCCACCTCAACCATGGTCCACCTCAACCACGGTCCACCTCAACCACGGTCCCCACCCGGTCCACCTCAACCACCCCCACGGTCCACCTCAACCACGGTCCCCACCTGTCACCAACCACGGTCCACCTCAACCACGGTCCACCTCAACCACGGTCCACCTCAACCACGGTCCACCTCAACCACGGTCCACCTCAACCACGGTCCACCTCAACCACGGTCCACCTCAACCACGGTCCACCTCAACCACGGTCCCCATCTACCCCCTCCAATCCTCTCTCTCGTCCACCCATCTTCCCCTCTACCAGGTGGACCCACGCTTGGGGTTAGCGCTGGACACTCTGCAGCAGCTGCTAGACGAGGGGCAGGCGGGCAGGTGAGAAACGTGGGCAGTAACGGGTATGGGCTAGTGCGGGCTCAAGGGGATGGAAATTAGGCCGCACTTTTCTGTACATTTGGGAAATTGTTCGAGACGTCTCAGAACACAGGTCCCATACATGTTGTAACTTCGACTGTGCATTAATGAAGGGGACCCGTGTGAAGTTCAAGTTGAATCAACTTGAATCACACATTCAAGTATCAGGAACGTGCCTCCGCTGTACCCCTCTCACTCCCTTATGCCGCGCCTGCTATGCTTGTCCCTGCAGTTCTTTGCAGCTTTGGCCTTTGCATTCCTAGACGTGGATAAGCGGAGGTACCAAGAATACTCTGACCTGCTCCTCACTGACCCCTGTATGTCCCTCTGCTGCACCCCTTGCTCCCCTTGTCTCTGCACTGTGCCGTGCAGCTTCGACTTTGCATTCCTGGATGCGGATAAGCGGAGGTACCGAGAGTACTACGAGCTGCTCCTCACTCTTGTAAGGTTCTTCCCTTCCCCAGTCTTTCCGCACCCCCCAGTCTTGTCTTTCCGCACCCCCCAGTCTTGTTTTTCCGCGTCCCTGTCCCCCACATTCTCGCCTTCGTCGCCACGTTTAGACTTTTCCCAAAGCGCCCCAAACGAACGCCACACACCACCTTCGCTGCCTGTCCTTCCGTTCCTTCCCCTTACCTCCAAACCCCCTCCCCCCCCCCCCCACCCCCCCACCCGACTTCCAGTTGAGGCCAGGAGGGCTCCTGGTGGTGGACAATGTGCTTTGGCATGGCCAGCTGGCCGACCCTCAGGTGCCCACAGCTGCCCATTTCACTTGTGCCTCTTCGCCGGCTTTCCCCAGTTCGTATGCTCCTGCGAGTCCCCTCGCCGCGGGAGATTTCCCGCTCTTATATGGCATGATTTCCCCAAACGACAGTGTTTCTTTTAGGCGGCTCATAGAATCCGATCCACATTGAGAAACGGATTGATACTTATTTTCTCCTTTGTGCCTTTCATCTCTTATCTTTACTGATTCTGCGTTGAAGCACACGTCCGCAAGAACACGTCGTCTTAACTGTCTTGTGCGGATGTGTCTGCCTTTTCCTCCTTCCCCTTTCCTTCAGGTGACCGATGCCAGGACGGAATATTTGAGAGCCTTCAACCAATTTATCCTCAATGATCCTCGCATCCACCATAGCATTGTACGTGAATGTGGAAACTCTGCAATTTCCATGCGTCATTGTAGCATTTCAATCATCTCACGAAATGTGTTGTTCGAGAGAAGTTCACAATGTTCCCGCATTGTGTTGTGGCGTGCAGGTTCCTGTCGGAGATGGCGTGGCATTGTGTCAAAAACTATAACTCCAATTTTATGCACACTTTGATGTATGACGTTCTACCATAGTCTTCGAGATAAAAATGCCATAATTTTCCTATTTGAATTCACACGGACGAAGTGTAGTGTAGTCGGGATAATTCTTTAACCCTCTGAAAAACCCTTTCGCTCTCTTCGTGATCTGCTAAACCCTCGCCCTTCATAGTGGCTTCTTGTTTCCAATCCACTATTTCATTCCAGCCCTCCCTGACTCTCTTGCGCAGGCCTCCGTGCCTCAATTCACGCCCGTATCTCCCGCCCGTACTGGCAACCTTTTCCCGTCCGTGTTCGTCGGGCCTTGCACCCGTAGCGACTTACCGGTGCTGTAGCGCCTCTCGTTGAAAGTGCCGCCGTTTGCCGCGCTCCCGTGTTACCCATGCCGCGACTGTAACCATTTCAGCAGTAACCGCACTCCCGCTTTCGCAATGCGCTTCGCCCCGACAGGCTCGACGACGGCCGCTCCAATGCCGTCGCAATTCCTCCTTCTCCGATTGCACACGTGGCGATCGTTAGTCTCTCGCTGCTCGCCGCGAGTCAAGCCCTTCAACCCGCCAAACACGCCCCTTCGGTTTTCAACTTTCCCCGAGCTTCCCAACTCACCAGTTGGATTCTCCTACTTACCTCTGACTAGACTGTCGAATCAATCGCTTAGGAATCCCATGGCTGCCGTACCGTCGGCGCACGGAGCGGAGGTGGTAACCAGTACAGAAGCGAGGGAGGGGGAAGGTAGTAGAAGTGGGGGGAGAGAAAGGATGGCGGGGACAACGAACGTGGAGGGGGGAGAGGGGGAGGGAGAGAGGGGAGTTTTGAGTCGACTCAAAACACACCAGGGGGAGGGAGAGAGGGGAGTGAATGATGCGGAGACCGCGGAGGAAGGAGATGATAGAGGGCAAAGCGGGAGGGGCGAGGAGCGGTTGGAAGCGGTCGAGCGGGGAGAGTTGAAGGCAAAGCGCCGGATGAGGCGAGGCGAGAAGAAGGCGAGAAAAGCGGAGGACAGCGACGCGCCACGGCGGGTGTCCGAGTGGCGCACGCGCCCCCTAGTCCCCCACGGCGCGTCCCAGTGGCCGCAGATCCAATCGCTCGCCGCCACGTCAGCAGGCGCCAGCCTGTCGATCGACGCGATCTTCGCGTCCCTCGGCCTCCCGCCCTTATCCGACGGCCACCCGCTTCTCCCGGTGCGCGTGCGGCAGCACGTGAACCCGTTAAAGACGTCGTTAATGGCGCCGCCGGCCCCGGTCGACTGGGCGGCAGTGTACGACGACCCGTCCCTGCCTCTGTTTGTTGATGTTGGGTCGGCGAGTGGGCGGCTGGTTTTGGCGCTTGCTGTGAGGGACTGGGCTTGGCGTGAGGAGAAGGAAAGGATACAAGGGGCGGACGCACCATCACCACCCCCATCAACAACACCCACGCCATCGTTCCTCCCTCCTCCTCCCCTGAATTTCCTCGGCTTTGAGATCGGCGACAAGCTCGTGCAGCGCGCCGACTCAAGGGACACGGCAGTCCAGCGCGACCTAGGTGCTGCTGGGTCGACTCATCATGAGGAGGAGGCAGTTGAGACACCCGCCCCATCGTTCCTCCCCTCTCCGCCCCTCAACTTCCTCGGCTTCGAGATCCGCGACAAGCTCGTGCAGCGCGCCGACGCCTGGCGCCGCCAGCTGGCGGTGCGCAACGCGCACTTCGTGGTCGCCAACGCCACGTCAGCGCTGGAATCCGTGCTGGCGACTTATCCTGGTCCCCTAGTGGCGGTGTCGGTTCTGTGCCCCGACCCTCATTTTAAGAACAAGCATAGAAAAAGAAGGGTGGTTCAGCGGGGTTTGGTGGCGGGGATTGGGAGGGTGCTGGTGCCAGGTGGACACGTGTTTGTTGAGTCTGATGTGGAGGAGGTGGCTGCTGACATGTACAGGCAGTTTGCGGATTATGGGAGGGGAGGAGGGGAGGAGGATGCAGGGGATGAGAAGGGTAAAGGGGCGAGTGAGAGTGAGGGAGAGGAGAGTGAGGGTGAGGGAGAGGAGAGTGAGGGTGAGGGAGAGGAGAGTGAGGGTGAGGAAGAGGAGAGTGAGGGTGAGAAAGTGAAGAGTGAGGGTGAGAGGGAGGGGAGTGGGAGTGAGAGTGAAGGTCTGGTGAGATTCGTTCCGAGTGACCTTGCTGGAGCAGGAGTGAGTGGGGAGGGAGGGGAGACAGGTGTACCACAAGAGGTGGCAGGTGGTGGGAATGCAGGGGAGGGGATCAAATGGCTGGAGTATAACCCCTTGGGGGTTCCAAGTGAGAGGGAGGTGGTGGTGCTGCTGCAGGGCTCGCCCATGTACCGAGCTCTCTTCGTCAAGCAATGAGTTTCCCCTCGGTCGCACATTCTCATGGCACTGCTGGAAAGCAGCGGTGAAGGGAAAGAGGCTGGATTATAGCCCGCAGGGATTCCTAGTGAGAGGGAGGTAGTGGCGCGGCGCTGCTGCATGTACCGCGCCTTGTTTGTCAAGCATCCATGCCCATGGGCGCATCCATTAAATGGAGTGAGTAGAGTTACTAACTACCAACTGTTGCCAGCTCAAGAGCGGATCAGAATTCAGGTGAAAGCAAGCACAATTTTGAAGACTAATGCCTTGACAAATACCACAAGGAATTCATTGTGCCCCTAAGGTTGCAAAGTTTGTCAGGAGCGCACTTCTACTACAGAGAATTTATGTGTCAAGATACGGTATGA